TGTGTTCTGTGCGCAGGGTTTTTGGGCTCCATTCTTGCCACTGCATGGGCCACTGCTCTGCGCTTGGGGTGACTGACCCAGAAACAAGACAGAAAAACCAGTTGGCCAGGGCAAGTCATTATTGAACTTCCTGCCTTTTGTAGCCAGAGCTGGATTCTTTGTAGATTGACATTTTCTTAAAAGTCAAGGAAACGGGCTTGACTATAAATTACTCACTGTCTCCCTTCTCATTTTCAGTTGTTGATAGTTGAGGGTCGTTGGTCGTGGCAGTTAAGTTGAACCACGTCTTGTGAACTCTTGTAGGTAGTGAGCGTTGGAAGACTCCACAAGGGAAGGAGAGCCTCAGGAGACAATCTTTGTGCTGGTGTGATGCTGAGGCCCGCCTAGACCATTAGGGAGATGAGGGGTTGGGATTGGGTCCGCCCTGGGATTTTCAGCGAGGGGCACTCCTTCAACTTCTCTTGGGAGATTCTGTTTCAGCTAAGGCTCTTGAAGCATATTAGCTCAGCTTTATTGACTGTCAAGGAAATATGGAAACGTAATATGTGTCAGGGGCCAGAGAGAGAGCACAGTGGGTAGACCATTGCCCGGCACATGGCTGCCCCAGCTTCCAGTCCCTGGATCCCAGATGGCCCGGACTAATTCCTTTTTTTTTTTTTTTTAAAGATTGTTTTATTGAATCATTGTGAGATAGATCCTTACAAATCTGTTCATGAGGGTTCTTTGTGCAGAGCTTGGAGTAAGCCTTGAGCATCGCCAGGTATGGCCCCCGTCCCCCAAGACAGAACAAAAATAAAAGAAGATGCTTTTCTCCGGCTTGTCTAGAATGATGGCTCTCGCCGTCACTGAAAGTAGCCACAACTCTTTTCTGTTTGAGTTCTGCCTGTTGAGACACTGGACGCAGCAGGTTGTGCCGAGGTCCTTAGAATGCTTGCTTCTCCGGGGCAGGAGCAGGGGGAAAGGGTGGCCCGGCTGCTGTGCACGGGACCTGACCGGGTTGGGTCCCTGGCGCTCCTTTGGTCCTGCGTGCCCTGCCAGGAGTGATCCCTGAGCGTGAAGCTGGGAGAAAGGTGTTTGCTTTTTCGGAGGTCAACCCAGCTTGACTCCCGACACGTGGGGCCATGAGTGCAGCTGGATGACGCCCACCCTGAGGTTTCTGTTCCGCCAGGTAGATAAGGGCTAGTGCCGGGGGGGGGGGGGGGGTGGATATTTGAGCCTCTGCACAGTTCCGCACATACGAGTGGGGTGCAGGGGGTACAGGGCGTTTGGGACTGGAGCAAGCCCCGGGCTCCCCATGCAGGTCCCTTTCCTTAACTGACTTGGGTCAGCTGCTCGCCGGGTGAGTGGGTGTTGATGGCTTCACACAATCCTGGACTGATTTCTTCTGGCTCCAAGATTGATGTTTCCCCCATTAAAAATGGAATTCCTCCCCCTATCTGGGTCGTCGGCAGTCAGGACTGCTGTTTCCTCTGGCCAGACTCTCCAAACATCACGCGATCTCTCCCGTAACCAAGGCGCTCCCCGCCGAGAGAGGTGCAGGCCAGGCCCTGGGGTCATCCTCTGTCCTGTGAGGGCTTAGATGGTTCAGCGTCCCCATCCCCCACTGTACGCCACAGAGACGTGCGGGAATGAAGGCCCTGGCTTTGCACGTCGCCAGCCCCAGTTCAACCACCAGCGGTGGTACTGGGTGAAACATTGCTAGGCGCAGCCCCCGGCCCCCTCCATCCCCCCAAAAACGTAAATCTTTCTCTGACTCGTGGCCACAACACGGTCAGTTCAGATTCTCTTTCCTCCTTGGTTGCTTCCATCTGTCTTAGGCTGGACGCTGCTTCCTTGAGCCTCACTGGGCTGAAACCTTCCACCAAACCCTAGTTCTCTCTTCAGGGGACGTCAGGACAGCCCTTGCTATTGGCGGGTGCCGCTGGAAGGCCTGCTCAGCTGTCTGCTCTGGGCCCTTCGCAGCGGCTGCCTCGGTGCCCCAGGAAAAGCGCCCAGCCCCAAGCTGGTGGGCAGGACCGGGCGCAGTCCCAGACTCCTTCCTCTCCAGCCTTCCTGGCCTGTCAGTGTGCATGGAGTCAGCAGCCCCTCCCCACTTGCACTGTCCTACCACGGATGCCTCCAGGGCAGAGCACCCTACTCCCATTCAGAAGGACCCTGGAGCAGGGTTTGAGAGAGATCTTGAAGATCCACTTACTTAAAACTTATCTCTGGTGAGAGTATCTGGTAGAACAGGGTTTTTAATTTATTTATTTATTTGCTTTTTGGGTCATTCCCTGCAATGCACAGGGGTTACTCCTGGTTCTGCACTCAGGAATTACTCCTGAGGGGGGACCATACGGGATGCCGGGAATCAAACCCGGGTCGACCATGTGCAAAGCAAATGCCCTTTCCACTGTGCTATCATTCCGGCCCTGGTAGAACAGTTTTTAAACTGGTCTCTCGAACTCTGAGCACCTGAGGATTTGGGGCATTAGACCCTCCAGCCCACTTAATCTTATTAAGTTGGGTTCCTGTCCCCAGGCGAACCCCTGTATATCTTCAAGGGCTTTGAAGGTGAAAGGAGATTCAAAGGGGAGTTAACTTGAAGAATCAACTAACTTCCACCCACAGTTTTAGTACGTGTTGTTTGGGACGCACATCCTCATGGGCTGTCTGCTTGGCTGTGTGCTCAGAGCCCACCCAGGCTCCCGCTCCCGTAGCTCCTGCCCTCTCAGCCCCTCCCTCGTAAGCCCCCACTGTTACTGTGAACTTTGAAGGTTCCAGCTCTGCTTGGAACCTCTTTTTCATCCTTTTCTTTGGCTTGACAATATCAGGGTTAGACATTCTCAGTGGTCATTTGCAAACCAGGTGAGGCTTCTTGAAACAACTTCGGGGATTTTCTTCCTGGACTGTAGGACCCCAGAAGGCTCATCCAGTGGCTGCCCGCCAGCAGGGGAAGGGGTTTCAGAGCCACCAGGAGGGTTTTTATCAACAGCTAGAAGCGCCTGTTCCGGACACGTGGGTGATAGGCTGGTGGGCACTGGGGGTGGGGGGGGGGTGAGCAGAGCCCCTCGGAGAGCCCGCCTCTGCATCTGCAAGTGTGCTGCCAATGGGGTGTGGCGCTTTCTGTCTCTGTCCTTAGGAAACAGGGAGGCCACATTCCCCTCCCTGCACAGACGGAAGCTCTGGTTTCTCATGTTGAATTGAGTTTCTCGGGGCCACTTTCAGGCCCGCATACACACATTTGCAGGGTGCTGGTCAGACACTTCCGGTCCCCTGGGCACTCACCCCAGTGCCCGTGCTGCCCTGCTGACTTCTGCCTCCCCCCATGCCCCGTGCTCGGCTCCACATCCCGTCCCCAGGGCCCAGGAGAGTCGAGGGACAGCATCAAGGGCACGGTCGGGTCAACCCCACGCCCAGGTAGATCCCCGCCCTGTCCTGCCAGGCCAGGTCTGGTAAGGATGTCCACCAGAGACTTAATCGAAACATTGCCGAGACTCAGAGGGAAGGAATGCGTTGGGGGAGATGTGGGGGGGCCTGCAGGTCGTGACGGCCTGTCAAGGTGCAGTTGCAGCCCCACCTCCAGTGTGTCTCGAGCATTGGAATGTTTGAAGGACCTTCCATTCTTGTTTTTGTTTTGTTTAATGACGTGTCCTTGTGGTGTGGCTTAGTGGTTGGCATGCCTGCTTTACATAGAGTGAGATTCTAGCTTCTGTCGCTGGCACCCCAAAGAAAGTGAGCAGCAAAACTTTCTAGGGCTGGTGCCCACTCGTGAGGTCAGGGCCCCCTGCCCCTCGGCCACTTCCTCCTGTTGACTAGCAAGTGGAGAGGGGTCACGTGGGCCAGAGCTTTGCCTGCTGGACCTTGAGACCCACTTGGCTTTTTCAAAGGGCTCTGAAAGCCCTAAAATAGCTCGTGGCTAAAATAGCCGTCCCCACGGCAACTGGCGCCCGCCCCACTCACCCAGCGCCCCGCAGACCCCCACTAAGGGTCGGGGCCAGGAGGCGTATGATGCTGCCCGCTGGGCACACAGTGGCCGCCAGTCCACACCCTCGCAGCTCCCAGCTCCACACCTGCCCAGGAGGCCAGTTCTTGCCTTGACAGGGACCCCCCCCCCCCCCACTGTCAGCCGTAGGGAGAGTCGCTCCTCGGCTCTTGGCACCCCAGTCCCGCCAGTGTCCCCGCTGCTCTGGGCTCTCAGCCACTTTGCACCTTCTCCCTGAGGACTAGGAGTGCACTAGGGGTGGTTTGCTATTTGTTTGGTGTGGCTTTTGGGTCATGGCAAGTGGGCCGCAGTCGCTAGTCCCACTCTGTGCTTGGGGGTCACTCCTGGGCTCCGGGGGACCCAGCGGAGCTGGGGCCACACAATGAGCCTGTGCTCAGCCCCAGAGCGGGGAGTGGGCTTCCCTGGTGGCGGAGCCGCGCTGAGCTGACCGGGGGAAGCACCCTCTCTCTGCCGTCCTGGGGTCCCACTTGGCCACACTGCCCGGGGGCAGTTGCCTTGGCCAAGACCCTCTCCTCTTACGCTTGCTGGCCCTTGCATGGACGCTCCAGGAAGCGGTCCCGGCGAGGCATTTAGCCCCACGACCCTTCCCCCCCCCCAAAATATATCCGCATTCTCGCTGCCCCCGCGAGCGTGCTTGCTCCTTCCCTCTGCTCGGGGGCACGGAGGGGCTTGATGGGGGGCTCGGGTCCCGTCATGTTCAGAGCCATGTACTGTACGCAGAAGCCCCGTCTGCTTCCAGAAGACTCCGCGCTCTCCTGTGGCTGCTTTCTCTCCTCGGAGGGCCGTGGCTGTGGTCAGCGCAGGCCTGGCCAGGGCCACGGGTGCTTGTGGCTTTCCCTCCCCATGCTTCGAGTTGCCGGTCCCCCTGCACCCCAGCTTCAGGGCTGCGGGCGGGGCAAAGCCCGAGGATCAGAACCCTGAGGGTCGTTGGACTGGGCCCCCGGCGGGGGCGGGGCGGTGTGGGTGTGGCGCGGCCGTGGGTAACCACTGACTCTCCCTTGTTCTTCTCTTGCAGATGAGCTCACAGTGCCTGCACTTTACCCCAGTAGCCCTGAAGTGTGGGCCCCGTACCCTCTGTACCCGGCGGAGTTAGCGCCTGCTCTACCGCCTCCTGCTTTCACCTACCCCGCTTCACTGCATGCCCAGGTAATTCGGCCCCTCGCCACCACTCACGCACCCTCGCCCGTCCTTCCCGGCCCGGCCCCCCAGAGCGCACGGAGCCACTAACACTTGTGCGGCTAACAGACCCACCGAGACCGCCCCCTCCGCCCGAGGACCGTCTGAGCGCCACGGCCTCACCCACTGCCTGACGTTTGCCCCAACGACACCTCTCTCTCCCCGAATGCCCACATCACGGCCGAGGCGGGGGTGCTGCGTGCAGGGGCCAGGGGCGGCTCTCGAGGGAGTCGGGCTCCTGTTGACGCAGGGCTGAGGGGGCAGCGGGGAGCTTCCAGGGCAGGCTGTGCTCAGTCGTGGGTGTCAGAGCAGAGAGTCAAGGCCCCGTTGTCCTGGTTTGGGAAACGCTCTAGAGAAGGCAGCACAGGGCGGTGTCGGGGGTGCAGTTCCAGGTCTTGGGGCCGCTCTGGGTTCCGCTTGCCTGCCCAGCTGAGTCAGGTCGCGCTTCCTGAGCGGACCCCGTCTCCTCCGGGGAGGACTGGTCTTCCTGCTCTGCTCTCTGGGGAGGCCCCAGCCAGTGTCAGGACTCAGAACAGAGAGACAGAATCAAGCGCATCTGCCTCGTGGCCTGGACGAGAGCAGGAAAACCTGGTGCAAATTTGAAAAATTATAATAAGCCCGAACAGGTGGGGGTTCTGCTTGTTTTGTGCAGTGTTGGTCTGCGAGGCTGGATGAATTCTCTCCCGAAATTTCCTCTTCCTCCCTCGAAGCTCGTGGGCCGGGAGGGCCTCTGTGTGCTTCGGGCTGGGGGACACCCGGGGCCAGGACAGGCGTAGAGAAGCTGCAGAGTGGAACGAAAAATGCCAGTGGTGGTGGCGGGAGGGCGGGACTGCAGGTCACTTGCAGGGCAGGTCGGGAGGCCTGTGCCCACCGCCAGTGTAGTCGGGCTTCTCTCTCCTTCGCTCTGTGCCTTTTCGCTCCTCTCCCCTCTCCAGTGCTCCCTCGTGCCATGCCTGTCTCCTGAGGTCAGGGCGCCTCTGTCTGGGGGTCGCTTCTGCTCTTCCCCTGCTAGTCCCGGGCAGCGGAGCACAAAGGTTGATGTCGGCCAGCGGGGGCCAAGAGATAGTGCAGGGCTTTCGGGTTGCGGCCACCGTCCAGGGGGGCCCTCAAGCACAAGCAGGACAACAAAGGCTGCGAGAAGGCCTCCTTCGCAGCGTCTTCCTTGGGCCCAGGCCCTGGAGAACCGACACTTGCGTGTGGCAGAAAGGACTGGGGAAGTGGCTTTGGTCACGGCTTCTGGGTAATTCGTCTCTTCCTTGATTTGTTGACGTAACAGATAAAATCCACAAAAGTCTTTCCAGGGCTATGGCAGGGGTTGGCCGAGGGCCTTGAGATAGGAGTCCTGTGAGCAAGGCGGGGCTCAGCCCTGGCCCCAGGAATCCATCCTGCGGTTCAGGCTGTGCCCTGAGCCCATGTATCCGGGCTGCCTGGCTGGAGTCTCACCCACCCCCGAAACAGCACCTGAGCCGTCGGGGGCCTCGGCCTCTGCCCATGTGAGGGGCTCAGCGGGAACCAGAGCGGACAGAGGGGCACGCTGAGGCGACGGAGCATTCTAGAGCCGCGTGTGGCTCGCTGGCCAGACCAGGGCACTCGGCCCCAGAGACCTAATTCTTGGGCGGAATTTTGTGGAAAGGCTCCGCTCCAGTGACTCCTGGGATTCTTCCTCTCCACGTAGAGAAGAGCCTGGAAGAAGAGCCGCGGAGGCAGAGGATGGGGATGAGGACCCGAAACCTTCCTGCCAGAGGGCTGGCTGGAGGCGGAGCGGAGGGGGCGCCAGAACAGCGTCCCTAAGTGGAGAATCCCCTTTTTGTTTTGGAAATCGTGTTGTGTGTCTTTGAAGAACTTTTAAGTTTGTTTCTCTTGGCAATGTTGTGCTCTGTTTTGAGACATGGATTTTTTTTTTCTTCTAGTGTTTCTCTCCTGAGGCAAAGCCCAACACACCTGTGTTTTGTCCACTTCTCCAGCAAATTAGATTTGTCTCTGGGAATGTGTTTGTAACGTATCAGCCTACTGCAGACCAGCAGAGGGAGCTCCCATGTTGAATTTGCCACTAGCTATCCGCCCCGCCCCGCCCCGCCCCACCCCCCTTTTTTGTTGTTTTGCAAAAAACAAACAACCAAAAAGAAAAAAAAAAGCAAACTATTTCTTGGCAACATTTGAGAGATTTCAATAAAAGTTTCAATCCAAGAAAACACTGTTTCAAATAGACTGCAGCGTTTTTTTCCTGTCTGTGATGCATTTGTTACAAGGTGGTATCCTGGCAGATTCGGGTAGAGTCCAGCCCCTGGCACCGAGTATCCATGGACAGACCCAGAGCTGAGACCCCACCCTCCCCCTGCCCCACCCTGCCCTCCATATCTCGGGCCCTGAGCCAACAAGAGCTGTTGGGGAAGATTCTCGTTCCAGCCTCCAGGCTCGGTTTATCTGGAGACACGCTCTGCCTTCCTCTTCCTCGAAGCCCAGCAGTCCTCGAGGACCTTGATGCAGAGGAAGGAAGCCGCGGAAGAAGGGATCCCCGAGAAGCTTGTGGAGGCCACGGGCCTGGTTCCACCCCGCCCTCACTCCAGGCTGCTGTTTGTGGCTCTCCGTGGACGATGCTTACTTGGCAGGACCCTCAGATGGAAGGGGGGCGTGGGTGAAGGGGGCGTTAGCTGAGGCCAGCAACATCTGGTGTTTGAGCGGAGTAGCCTGTGCCAGCTTTGCAGGCTGGTGGTGTCTGTGGCGGGAATCAGTTGTGTGAGCCACTGTGGGCAGGCACGGGCGGTTCCATCGGTGCAGACACACATCTGGGCCGTCCGCGCCTGCCTTCGCTCTCGCTCTAGTTGACAGGTCAGAGGAGGTCGGTCACGTGCGCGATCCTCCCCACGCGCAAGGAGCCGTTCCGCTTACCCGCTGGGTAGCGGCTGTGGCAGGTAAGTTGGACCCAGAGCGGGTCCGGAGTCCTTCCCTGGCCTGTCCCCACAGGCCACCCGAAAGCCCTAAACCCTCACGCAGACTTCCTGTGGTCACATGGGCCCTGAGGAGGACCCTTGTGAACACCCCCCACCCCCGGAAATGTTTTCAAGATTAGACCCAAAATAAACGCCACAGTGGACTTTGGGAAGAGATGGAAGGAACATGGAGACTCAGCTGAGTGCTGGTGTGGGGGTGGCCGCGCCCTCGGGTGGCCCTGGAGAGCAGCAGCTTCTCGGAACTCAAAGAAACAGCCCTTCAGCGCCTCTCCACACTGCACAGCAGCAAACTCGGGCTAAAGGCCCAGCCTGGGACTTGGACCTGGGGGGCTCACCCAAGCGTCTCTGGCCCTCCTCAGCCTGGACCCGGAGACTGGCAGGGGCGGCTGGAAGAAGGATGGGAGGAGGCGGGTCTCGGCTGGGCGGGCGGCTCCCGGGTCACTCTCGGTCCCCAGCCAGACGCACCGACAGACACAGCAAGGATCCCGTCGTGAATGGCCAGAGACGGACTGGCATCCTGGACAGGGCAGCCTCCCCGCCTGCCACCCACCACCTGCTCTGTAGCCTGGCGGGATCGGGAATCGCCCCCACAGCCAGGCCCACACAGACCTCCAGCCCCGAGCCGCCTCGACAGGAAGTGGATGCCGAGCGGGAGAGAGCTGGATTCCCCGAGAGACCTCTGGCACCGTGTGTGTCGCGTCACCCAGGCCCGATGTTCCTGAACTTTCCAGCTGCTTCCTTGTCTTCATCTCTCTGAGAAGCCAGGAGGGGAGTCCCACGGTGGGCTTGGGCAGGAGTGGAGGCCGGACACCAGTTCCGGCAAGGCAGATGCCCGTCTGCTCACGCCCTCCCGCCACAGCCCAGAGATTGGTCCTTGGAGCCCAGGAGCAAGGCAGTGAGAAGCGCGACCGTCTGCCCCGACCCTCTGGCCACCTCAGCCACAGTCTGGAACCCCAGCCCCAGAGCTGGCCACTGCTGAGCCTCCCCCCGACGGGAGAGTTGGTTCTTGTTGAGGATGCAGGTGCTGGGACCTGTCCTGGAGCAGATGCTCCGAGCTCGCCACTGCAGGGACCAGACAGCCGGCGGGTGGGGGCAGCAGCCCTTGGCTTCCTGAGCTCTCTGGGTTTCTCTTTGGTCCTTTTGCACGTCCCCCTCTGAGGGCTGGTTCTGAAGGTTGTGGCCACAGAGGTGCCCTGAGCCCCGCATGAGCTGGGGGCTTGGTGTTTGGAGACGGAGCCCAACATCCTGAAGGCCGTTTCCTCCCACTCTGCCCTCCTGGGATCTCAGACGAGAGACACAGTCCCCACTGCTCCGGGGGTCACTGGGAACGAGCCAAGTGCTGCTCCTTGGGTCATCGTCATGGGCTGTCCTTCCTGTGACGACTCGATGGGGCAGGCCTGGCCCTGGTTTTTGAGCCTGTCTCTGGTGACTGGAGCACTCGGGGGTCTAGGACTCAGGGTCAGCCCCCCTGAGCACAGCTGACCGCTCTGGTGTGGTATGTGCTGGTGGGGCTCTGGCCGGCTTGTGCCTGTCCACCCAGGTCCTGTCCACGAGCCCACGAACTCTTTATAGCTCTGGAAACAGAAGCAAAGCTTTCTGAAAGAAACTTGGGAAATCAGCACGGCCTTCATGACAAGAAAGTGAACTTCTTGAAGAAAACACGTTGTGACAGGAGGGAAAAGGGAAACCGAGTGCACATGTTTTATTCAGCGCTCTGCTGTGGGTGTGGGCAGCCCGGGAGTGGGGACAGGAAGGGAAAGTGGGGCACCCCGGCCCGGGGCCTCGTCACGAAGCACGGCTTGCTTCACCGAGCGCGGCTCTTGGGACCCGCTAATGGCCCTTGATGGCAAACATCGTTAAAAATTAACAGGCTGACAAAGTTAAGCATGGCTGGCCAGCAGGCTCCGTGGTCTGCATCTGACAGGCACGTTTCACGCCCGGGCACCCTCGGCCAGGGCTGCCTTGTGTGAGCTTGGGGCATGGTCGGAGGTGCACAGGCCTGCTCGGAAGCCGCAGAGAGCGCTTTGTCCCTACAGGCCTGTGTCTGGTGAGGCCCCAGTGGACTCACAGGCCTGGTTAGGAGGAGCTTGACCTCTCCGCCTGGGGTTCAGACCTCGGCCACGCGCCACCAAGCAGTCTGGGGGGAGCCTGCACGATCTGGTGCCACATCCCAGATGTAGGGACATGGATGTTGGGCATAACCGTGTCCACTCTTGCCTGCTTGTCCCAGGCAGGCATGTTAGACCAGAGTGCACATCCCGCCTGCTGGGCATGTCCCAAGGGTCTCCAAGGGCCGGGCAGTCCCCTTCCCTGGTCAGGGGGTGTTGGCCGGAGCATCCTGAGCCTGCGTGCAGAGGGACAGTGTCGGTCAGCACCCGTCCTCTGATGAGTTGGGAGTTTCCAGGACAGGGATCTGGCTTCAGGCTTGGTAGCCTCCAGCCATCCTCACTGTTCTTATGGGCTCTGCAGGACCAACCAGAGCCCACCACTCGGTCTGCAGTGAATGACGGAGGCCCTCCTAGAGGAAGATTGGGGGTGGGGGGTGGACAGGCTGTCAGCAGAGTCCCGGGATTGCCAGCTTAGGGTTCTGATCCTGAGCACGCAGGATTTTGTGAAAAGGTCCTAAAGAAAACATGGGCTTATGGTACTGCTCCACCTTTACTGCGTATGGTGCCCCGAGGCCTAGGCCGAGGATCCAGTCCCCTCGGGCTCTCCCGAGCAACCAGCGGGGTACAGAGAGTCTGGCTGGTGTGTTCAGCTTTCGTCAGTTCTGCTGGTTGCTAGAAACCTGGGTGTCACATTCGCGGGCTTCCACCTCTGATTCTCCAGGTTTCTCCTCCGCAGGGGCCTCCAGAACCATCAGGTGTGCTCAGAAAACCCAGTTTCTTCCTTAAGGCTCTTAGAGCCCTTGGTTGTGCTAGTAGCCATGGTGGCCTGCCTGGAGGTGGAGCCCCTCTTCCTCACTCTGGAGCCGGGATGCTTCTTTGGACTAATCTTCGGGATGCCTCTTTGGACTAGTCTTTGGCTGCGCTTCCGAAATGGCAGGAGTCATTGAGGCAGCTGCACGGGTCCTGCCGCTAGTGCCTGCTCCGACCCGGCCCACAGCCGTTGTCTCTGAAAGCCACTGACCGAGATTTTCTGTGACCTGAAGAGAGTGTCCCGGGGTGGCTCGTTCCTGCAGCCCCCTGAGGCAGAGTGGGTTTCCCCTCAGCAGTGCCTGTGAGGTGGGGGTGGGCTGAGGAGTGCAGGGCCGCACTGTCCGGTCCACGCGCCCCCCCCCCCCCCCCCCGCGCGGGGCCGTGGGTCAGGTAGGGGCTCCCTCCTGGACGCCAGTCAAGGTCTGTCTGTCCTTGGCAGCACTCTCGGGTACATGGTTTCTGCATGTATTTTAGTCCCCTTGGACCTCGTCTTCTCATCTATAAATGGAAGAAGATGGAAATTATTTGTAAGGGTACTTGGTACTTTCTCTAGCATTCCATTTTGTTTTTGTTCCGAGTTTGTTCTTTCCTGAGTATCTTGGCACCCTCCTCCTCCCCCATCCATCACCGCAGTCAAGGACCAGGCCGGGGTGTTGGCTCCAGGGCACCCCTGAGAGCCCCCTGCTTGTGAGAAGGGCCTTGAGCTCAGGCCAGGCTACATAGGATTTGATTGGACAGGCCCCCGGGTGTATGCTGAGGGGGGCAGCAGTACAGGTCACCTACATGGGGTTGCAGTGAAGTGCCCAGTTTTCCTTGCCCTTCCGCTGTTAGCCATCTCAGGCACAGAGGGAGGAAGGTCAGCCTTGGAGTAGAGGTGCAGAGGAACACCAGAAGCTCCTGGGATGTCAAACCGGCGTGCGTGCATACGTGTGTGTGTGTGTCTGTGTGTGCACTCACGTGTAAGTTTGAGAAGAGGGGGCAGAGCAATAGTACAATGGGTAGGGAGGTGTTTGCCTCGCACAGAGCTTACCTGGATCCAAATCCCAGTATTCCATATGGTCCCCGGAGCTTTCCGGAAGTGAGTCCTAAGTACAGGGCTAAGAAGTAACCATTGAGCATTGCCGGATCTGACCCAGCCACAAAGTATGGTGTGTGTGTGTGTGTGTGTGTGTGTGTGTGTGTGTGTGTGTGTGTGTGTGTGTGTGTGCATGCACGGCGAGCGCGCACATGTGTGCACGGCCAAGCCGCTGCCTTTCATGCGCTGAGCTTGGAGCGCCCCCTCCCGA